CTTAATTTTAACGACCTTTCATCATTTGTCAACCAGGATCTTTTTGCTGCTGGCTGAAAAGTGCCATACCAACACCCATCCGGGACCAGGAACACTGTACATCCGGAATTGTGCACCGCGAGAGCACAAGACATCCGCCGTCTGGCATGCGATCAGCGGTTCCTCTAGGAGGACTGGGCACGGGCTCGTTTGAGTTACGCGCAGACGGAACGATTCACGAATGGACGCTCGAGAACCAGTCTCCCGGAGGTTCAGCTAAATTGAACAAGGGAGCGCTAAATTTGGCAGTGTTTGGAGTAAGAGTGTCAGAAGTGAATAAAGATAAGAGCAAGGCAGCGCTGCTGAGAATCCATGCTCCCCATGGGTACCCTGGAGTGGACAGGTTGTCATACTCTGGATCTTACCCAGTCAGTAAATTAACCCCCGGTGAGTAGAATATTTACGTTTTTTTCGTTCTTCATGTCTCTTTTCTCCGCCTTAAGTTATAACTCACGTCGAGTATGACATCTGCGAATCAGTTAATAAGATTCAAGGAGAATTCTTGGAAAAACAAAAATCTGTTACTGCAAGATCTCTTGATTATTTCCATGCTTTCTGTGTCACGAACACTTTGCTTATTTTGCTTGTCTTATACACAGGTGGTTCAATAACAGAGAACGTTGACATGAGTCTATACGCCTTTTCATCATTTCATGTGAGACACCGTTACAAGTCTGCGGTCCCAGCAGTTGCTTTTACTTTAGGCATGCGGAATAAGGCTGACAGACCTTTGAATGTGTCGTTCATGTTTAACTTGCCGTTAGGACAACAGGAGGATACAATTCGTGTCGGAGATAATTATGGCGAAGTTGTATTCACAAGGTATGGAATTGAGCGCTGGTCTCAGTTGTCGTGGAAGTTTTTTCCTGATAGTCATTCACTCAGTTTCTTTCTTACTAATCTATCCTCCCGAGAAGTCTTCCAGCTTAGAGGCCTGTAGCTGCGAGTACTTTTTCTCGTTTTGAAATCCAGCGCCCTGATCAACAGGTCACCTCCTTTCCCGTAAGCTGAGTCAACTTCACCTAATTGTAACTAGCGATAACATTAATCAGACGTAATTGCTGCTTTATTATAGATGGACAGGTGATTATTACTGGTAGCTTTCTAACTCATTTGATCTATCAGTGTTGTCCTCTTACTAAAATGAGAATGAAAGGAACCATTGTTTTCAAAAAAAGAGTCAAGATCAATTCATACTTTCTTCCTCATTCCAGAATGATAAAACCTTCGGACTGTGCGCACGCGTGTTCAAAGATGCCCAAATGTATGTCATGGACAACCAATGGACCTACATCGTGTCTGTTGAAGGACAAAATGCCCCTTCACGCCTGGGCCACCGGCATCGTATCAGGCCTGAAGGGAGAATGGTCTGTGAAAGACTCCATGTTGACTTGCCACAGGCCCGGGTTTTTCCCTCAGAGCGGTAGCACAACACTATATGCAGTTGACGATGAAGATAGTTCGGGATCTTTTGCCGTGGCTGACGACTTTGGAGACATTTGGAAAAATTTCTCAAACACAGGTGAGTACATCACAGTGCTGTATTCTGTGTGTGACGTATAGGTAGTAACTAAAATGTTGCGAAAAATTATAGAACCTTTGTACCCAGGTCGAGTTCGTGCTGGTTGTGGTTTTTGTTTACATTTTCTGTATTTGCTTTTTCGTAAAAGATTCTGTGGTCGCTTTCATTACAAAGTGGATCAATTCCATTTCTCCAATGGGTAGCGCTCTCTAATCTAGATCGAAAGTTATTATTGTTTCCTTCTGTTTCCAGGAAAAATTGGCACTACAGAATCTCTAAATAACACTGGGCTTTATGGTGCAGCGTCTGTGATGACACAGCTCCAGCCGGGAGAGAAGAAATCTTTGACCTTAATTTTGTCGTGGTATTATCCCAACCGTGATGTGGCCAAAGTTCACGTCGGTAATCTGTACTCAGCCTTGTTCAAATCCAGCCAGGATGTGGCAAACCACATGCGCAAGGATCTGCTCCAGTCGGTAATGGATATTCGTTCGTGGCATGAACCGATCGTGGGATCTACACCTGCAAGAAAGGAGCCAATCAATGACAAGGTTAAGCATATACCCAAAGGTCCGGACGAGAACAGAGTCAATGAACTTCCTGATTGGCTAAAAGATTTGCTCGTCAATAGTATGAGCTTCTGGAGGTCTGGATTCTGGGCCGAAGATGGAAGATGGCGACAGTGGGAAGCTTTTGACTGTAATGATATCGACACCATTCAAAATGACATGCAGAGAATTATTCCTTACACTCTCTTCTTCCCAGGTATTTTAACTGCCAATTTTTTTTTTCGCTATCTCTCTAATTTAAAATTAATTTACATTATTTTGAGATTATCGTTATAATTATTTCATGTTTTGTTATAATATGCAGAATTAGTGCGAGAACTTCTGACGGCTTGGGCCGACAATCAATACTCAAGTGGTATGCTACAAGAGGCGCTTACTTCCGGTTGTCTGGGACCAACAGGGAAGCTGGGTAATGCTGCTAAATGACTCGCATTGTCACAATATAATACTCCTTAAAATTAAAACTGCTATACGGGTATAGGTTGGAGAGAAGAGTCTTACTCATAGGAATAATCTAAGACTGATCATTTTTTAGATAGGAAGTAGATGAATATGCATATCCACCCCAGTTCAAAGATTCCTTCAATTCTTTTGCCCTGTAGATTACTCCGGCGGCCGAGTGATGGCGGACACAACAGCTATGTTTGTGGTTGGACTTTACCACTATTTCCAATGGACCGGGGACCAGGCTACTCTCGACCGACTTTGGCCAGCGGCTAAAAGAGCAATGGCCTGGGTCATGGTGGATTCCACTAAAGGTTTACTTAATTGCACTCATACATGCATAGCTGTAGCAGTATTATGTATTTCTGCATATATCGGTGTTTGCATTTAAAATTACTGAACGAACACACTAAATGATATAAAGACAGCTTATCAACTTGCTCTGAATATATCTTTCATCCCTGATTTTAAAAGAAAATTGATTCAGTTATACTTAAAGAACTCCTTCCCGCATCACGTAAGATGTAAATTGTTACCTCAAGTTTTACAGACTTTTAGAGCGCATTTCGATCGGAATCGCAAGCAATGTAAAGAGATTTAAGCAATGTAAAGAGAGCAAAGGCGATACAAGCTCGGGTTAGATTTATACAGTCATTTGAAAAACGTCTAAATAATTGTCCTATTTACTCCCAGGTACTGGCCTTCCTTTTAGGAAAGTTAGCACGTACGACATCGTAGCACTTGACAAATATGACCACGACGCCTACAACTCTTTTGTGTATCTCTTGGCCTTGAGAGCCGCGCAAGAAATGGGAACGATAAAAAACGATACCAAGTTTACTTCGAGCATTCATCGTGCTTTTAATCAAGCGCAGAAACGCATCGACGTTGAACTGTGGGACGAAAATAAGCAGTATTACCATGCCTGGTGGGACATGGAATATGGCTCTCCTGAGTGGATCATGTCAGATTCCTTGTATGGTCAAGTCTGGGCTTACTCTCTTGGTCTTGGGGATCTGGTACCTCGTAGTAAACTGAAAGAACATTTGTTAAGCGAAGTTGAGAGAAATGATTCCCCTTTTGGTCTGAAGGTTTTGAACACAGGTGAAACAGAAATCACACAGGAGGACACATCAATCATTTTAAGCCACCATGTTCCCGGATGTAAATCGTTAGAGAATATAACGAAGCATAATTCAGTTTGGATGGGTGCAGACGCCGACTGGTCCTCTCTTATGCTGCATCTAGGTGAGTTAAACGGAAACACTCGAAATTTATTACTAGCCTTTCTTCACTTTAATTTTAATGAAGGATCACAAAACTTGTATGGTAGTCTCACCCGCAAGGTACTGATTGCCGGATAAGGAGTCTCATTACAGGAGTCACGGTAATGTCATGGAATGCACCTTGGATTACAAATCGAGACTTCCAGTGTCAGTTCCAGGTCCCGGCTAGGTTATTTTTTTCAAACAATCTCAGCAAATTTTGTATGAAGTGAGCACCCACAGGACCCATGCTGGTGTCCGCTAAACCCTTTCACTCCGGTCCCAAGATCTAGAAAGCATTTCTCCTGATATTTCCTGATATTGCTAGGATAGATATTTTCCTTACTTTGATGAACTGAAATATCACACTTAGGAAAAGATAAGAGACAAAGCCCATTACCAATATCCAATTCATTTTACAGACACAGACCCCATAATTGCGCTAAACCGCGCCAAAAAATCGCTCGATCATTGGCGCTCAACGCTCAATGATCAATGGAATATTCATGGCCTCATTTCAAGCAGTGGTTATGGACTTGACGGGCTGCCTTGGGCCACTTCTCACTATTCTTTCCACATGGTTCTATGGCATATACCTCTCGCAGTGTCAGGCCAGCAGTACTTTGCTCCCAATGCATCACTGACTTTCTGGCCCAAGTTTCCAATTCCGTTTAGTTTACCTTTCTTCACGCCCAGAGCGTCGGGGATAATTGAGGGAGCATACGTTAAGGGAAATGACAGAGAAGAAGAAGACAGTGAAGAGGAAGAAATGTTTACGTTTACTATCAAATCAGGTAATAAACCAATTTTCGATGACGAGGCCTGTGATCTGCTTGGCTAGTTCCACAGTTTACTTGAAGTCGTATCGGCTGCCGTTTCATATAGACTGTCACTGAAGTTATTTCTTTTACGCTTTGAAATTTATGTAGTCGTCACCTATAGCCGATTTAAAATTTCTGCAAAGTTTTCCCAAATTTGCGGGAAAAGGCTTCGAAGAAATCTAACGGTAGCTACGAGTTTAAAAATGATACCGGTACAAAAAGTAATAGTTTCCTTCGCAGTCGTTTTTACCTCTCTAAGTACGTGTACGACAAGCCGAAAGAAAAAAACGGAAACTGAGATTTAAAGCGACTTGATTAGGATTCTGATTGGTACAAACAGACATTTACAGAGGACGTTCATACTGCCATTTCATATATGTATTCCATTTTGTTGTGGGTCTGGTCAGGCATAGATTTGGCGCGGAAGACACCAAAATACAGATAGCGGAGAATGTACCACTAAGTATCATAGCACATATTCAGGTCTGGTTGTTGTCCTTATCTTCTTCAGGTGAGATTACCTTAAAAGAACTCTCAATCCTAGGAAGCAGGTATGGAGAGGGTGAAATATCAATCAAGCAAGGAGAAACAGTCACGTGGTCACGGCCAAAGCAAGATGTGAAAAACATTTTACAACAGTTGTGAAGACGTCACGCTACTCCATATTGAACTTTCGCGCACGATTAGGATAGCAGGTTTCGATCAAAGCTTCACCCGAACTGTAATATATTTTTTTTATGTACGAATAATCATGAATACAGTAATTTATTGGATGAAGCACAGTTTACCTAACCCGACTAAAACATCCTAGATATTTCAGTTCTTTTTTTAACTGATTATCAGGATATGTCTGCATCTATCATTTTGCGCTTTTCAAGTAAACAGACATCTTTTACCACATCTCTCCTTACGCAAGAGGACATTTAAGTGATCCTCTTCGTGTATACAGCGGCCAGTCGAACAGTTCTGTTTACTAATCATCCCGTGCAGCGTTTAAATCCCAACCCCCCACTCCATGTTTCAAAAAGTTGCGCCGCGACAGAAGCTTCACAGAGTCCGTGATAGAGACGCATTTTCTCTACTTCATCAATAGGAAAGAAAAATAAAACCTAACACTACATGGTTAACTTGTGGATAACTTAATCAGAATATACGTGATTGTACTCGGGATCATAAAAAGTAAAGCCTCAAATGTTCTAGGATGAAAATCATCAGTATTCTATAGTTATTGAATACTGAAAACAGAAAATCACGACGAATAATGCCAAGGATTCGTTGGGGGCTGTAATTGGTAAACAAAATGCTGTCTGCTTTTGTATCAGTGTGAGGTATGGCTGAATTGAAACTGAACGCAAAAGAGCCAACAGAAATTAGTGAGGTAGAGTATCTGAAAATATACGGAGATTGTCTGTCGACGACATGTACTTAATTCAGCTTTGTGCAATTACTATTGTTTAAGGTTGGAGTTTCATGGAAATTTTCTTGGACCTTAACTATGCTGTCATATTCAAACCAATTATGTCATAGTCAAAAGATGGAAGATGGTTGCGAAATAAAACGAGAAAATTGTGTAACACCTGAGCCAATATCAATTTATTAACCAACACCGCCCTCTCCTTTATAACGATATGTTTATTGTGATTTACATTGTGTTGTTGATTTGGAGTAACTGATTTTTGCCACGAAATTCGAATGTAAATAGTAAATTAATCGCCTTCTAGAAATGTTCAATTTACGCCCATATATCTACAACGGTGGTTTTTCACTTCATACGAACGTCAAGCAGGAGTATCTCAGTTTGTTGTCATTCAGTTGTTTAATCCGCGTCTATTCAGTCCCTCCCAGCTTGTCTAAACCATAGTCACCTTTTAAGTGCTTTTTAAAAGGAACTTCAAAATACACTTTCTAACATATCGTCACAATTTTCTGTTTAATTCCCATAGTATATACCGTATATTCATGGAAATTTAAGTGTTTCGCGATTCATAAGAATTGGCGCTATTGTGGTGTCATTTTGTTACGCTTGCTATCTCGTTATTTTTTCTTCATTTTTGACAAACACGAGTGTATTTTATTTGCCGCAATACAATGTTCTAAACCGAAATCTAACTGACTCTGGTGAGGAAATCTTACTAAGGTTCCTAACTCTATTACTATACAACCCAAAAAAGCTGTTAAACCAAAACTATCCAGTAACAGTGAGGTTAATGTTCAGTTTTTAGTCTCTGATCGTATCCTGTTATCAGAAATACTGAAAATTTTATTCACTGACATTATTGATAATGGTTCCGATTAGGACGTAAAAATTATCACTCGCAGGTTTTAAGCTAAGATCGATTACCATGGTTTTCACCATTGGGCATAGCAACCATTCGAATTTACTAACGAGCCTCAGGTAAAATTCATAATCAAAGAAAAGGAAGAGGATTAAACGAGCATTAGTTTTCATAAATGCAGTTTTTTTCCGCTCCGCTCGGAATTGTGTGTCGATCCACAAAATAAAAACAGAACAGAACAGACACAAGTGAAGAGGATCACTTTCAGCAGTTTACACCAGGTAGGCTTTTGAATGAAATCGAGATTTTTTGTACGCTTTTCAATGTATAACCCTAAGTAATTTAATCATTCAAGACTGATCTGAGACGCTCTCACAAACTAGCATATCTAAATCTAACATAAATCTAGCATATTCTTGCAAAATACACTTTCGTCGATACAATTCTTCAAGTTTGCAAAATTAAGTTCTTGTCAGATAAAAGAAAATAGAATAGTGTGTCGTTGCCCCTTTCTGCAAGAATACCAATCAAGCTGTGATGGCGTAAGGTACCATTATTGACTTAAATGAATGCTAAGCAGCTACTTCTTCCATTCCATTAATATAGCCGCAAACCTATTGGAAATTTTTTTTTTAAGAGGCGCACTATTTGTCTGTTTAGCTTAATAATCGAAGACTTCGTGGCAGAAATGATCTCAAAATCCGAGCTTGCGAGCAGGCGTGGAAATTATGAATTTTCTCCACTAATCTCAAATAAAGTATGACAACTTAAGTATATGGTGATAAAATGATCCTGTGGAACACTTTCCGCGATCGTCCGCAGAAATCGCGATGGGGGTCTCACATGGACTTATCGAAAAGAATTTTAAAGAACAAACCGAATAGTGAGGTAAAATCCCAGAAAAATAATTCACTCCTGTTGAACAGGTGCAGATTAAGAGGACAACAGTAGCTACACTGAATATCCATACAGAAGGTGTGAATATGCGGAGTAAAAGTTCTCTCTCTCTCTAAAAACCGACAAAACTCGCAAAAATTGGGGAGTGGAAATCGTGTAGAAGAAAGCAAAATTGAACCAATAGAGACCATTTTAGCTCAAACAGAGGGCAATTTATCAACTTGATCGTTCAGGCTATAATTTAAAGGAAAAACTTCATTAATTCAGTTTATTAATGTGGCGCCACACAAAAGAAAATAAGCCCTGACTCCTACCAGCTTCTACCTTGTCACTTTAACTTGACCGAGATTACAATTTCAGCAGCCAGGGTTGTGTCGTTAATCCAAATTAGCTGTTATTGCCTTTTCTAAAAGCTCTCTTGAGTTGTAACACACTTGGAGGTAACTATAAACACAGACTTGCTTGGCATAGCTGAGATTGAGTCAGACAAAAAGAACATCCTCCTTCATTTGTGATGTGAATTTTAACAAATTGTTTTTCAAATTGTAAGAAAGTCAGTTGTAACTGTGTGAATAGCACTACCTTTCACCAAACCGGAAACCATACAAAATATGTTCGTATTGAATAAAGAGTCACAGTCTACGTTTGTAAGCCATAGCAGGCTCATGAATTATTTGAAAGTGATTATACTTTGGCTATAGAGTAAGAGATACTTAGTTGTACTGGTTAGCTATTACATCTTTATTTTTCGAATCTAATTTGTGAGTTGAAAGCTTATCTTACCAAATACAATGATCTTAAGATATCTTTGTTCCAAACTTCGCTCGAGGAAAAATGACGCTGTTGTTGAAAATCAGGGTGTAAATATCAAGCATAAATTTACATTTATATGATCAGCTGAGTCACGCACGAATTTTAATTGGTTCTTATTTATGATCTTCTGGAAGACAGACGCATTGATGATGTCATTATTAACATTTTTGGCTTTTTTTAATCATTTAATTAAAACAAATAGACTCTTTGTTGCTGCGTGTCTGTTCAGAAATAGATCACAGACGTACTATTTTCCGTTTCCATCTAAACCTGAAAACAGCTTTGGTAAAAACTTCGTGACTCAGGCAACTCGGTCCTTATTGTTCCTGTTTGTTCCTTCATTATCTTTTTATCTTGGTAAAGAAATATCCAATGTGTTTTTGTCAAATATTCTAAATGAAGATGACAGAATACTCTTTGTTTTAAAATGTGTTAATGTCTACAATTTACATTATTGCAGAAAGCACTATTAGCAAAGTTGGTTAAGTTTGAAAAATGTTTTTAATATTTAAGTTTGATTCTTAACATTCTTGATCTAATAATTAAGATAGTTTTCTCATTTAAGACGAAATCCGTCCTGTTTTAATTATTTTCCAGAACAAATTATTTTTTCAACATAATTAGATGTTAGCAATCATTCGTCTAATTGCGAAAAACGGCAAGCGATATGCTAATTTATGTTATGAAAAATATTAATAATAATTACATTTTTGGTCTAATATTAGTGCAGAGATAAAACAAGCTGTAACAAACATGTCTGGATTTTTAACTTCACAGTTTCGTCTCGATCAGTTCGGTCAATCTCCAGTTATAGACCACCTGTCCTTTGCAAATAGAGATATTAGTTTTTTAAAGAATTTATTTTTGTTCTCTTCATGTTTGATGTTGACAGGTGTCGTCTGGCTGGGTGTCAAAGCTCATTAGGGTTTTAGCCAGACTCATATTAACTTTGTGATGACAAATGTAAAAGCTATCACATCATTAACAATGGTGTGTCAGCTAGAGGCATTTCCTTTATAAAAAACTTCCAATCAGGGCGATCTAACGCTTCTCTTACAAAGCTATTCATGCCTTTAGACAACAGTTGGGAATGTTATAAGAATATCTGCTCTGAAAATTAATCTACAACCCCCCACCTGAACTTCTATTCTTGCTATTGATGAACAATGATTGAAAATGGTGGATGAAGTGAGAATTTCAAGGGCGGAACACGTAATTAGTGATCTATAACAAGCCAGGGTAACTGTTTAAAATCATCGGGTTTGGAATTTCTTATTGAAGATCAGGGATGGATAGAAAATATTCACATACTTCCAAAACAGGAGGATAAAAACACTTTGTGGATAATTTAATCCATTGAGTGATTTATTTCTTCCTTCTTTCATTTATTTCTTTATTCATACGATAATATATATACATATCTATATGTTTTTATTCATCAGCTTATTCGTTTACTCATCTATCTATCTATGTAATATATTTATTCATTTACCGGACGATATCTTCAAATGCACAAATCGTACAGTTCCAAAAGAGAAAAGTTCTAATGTGATATGATCCAAGTACAAGAATGCGCAAAAAGTATTTTCGAATGTGTATTTGCTATTGTGTTCCCTAAAGGAGAGTTATGCGTCAGAAATTCCATGATTTTCATCTCCGCCATTGAAAACATGCATGAAAATTGTCATTTTTCTCCAAATTTGTCTTCAAATGTGCCAAAGTTTAACCTTCACTAGGAACGCCGCCACTTTTTGGCTTTTCAACCTGGCCCGTTTCGGGTGATATGAAATAGTCTCACTCTGTTTCTTTACATCTCTTGGCACTCGGTGTGAACAACTGAAAGCTGCACAAAAAGGCGTTCTTGACTTAGATAATGATTTTTTTTCCTCCGATAACTCAAGCAGCAGCTGTTTGAGAACCGCTCGTTGCAGTTTTGTGCGTCCGGCCAGGTTACTTTGCTTTTTTCTCAAAATGGCGCCGACCATCATTAAATTTTCAATACATTTGCTGAATCTTTC